TCGTAAACACCCCTTCAACAAGAGAATCTTTTCAAATCAAATTATCTTCTGACCCAAAAAAATCTAATCCACAAGTCAGGTGTTTATTGTTATTTCTAAGAAAGCCATATGGCCTAATTAGTCCTCCTCGCATCAACAGGAAAAAAACCTTATTTTAACCCTGCCATGACAAAACTCAGATAGTATATTTTTTGACATTACAACATGCTTTCATGGTTTTAAAGCATTCCTCAGCAATTAATTATTCATCATGAATATTCTTTCGAGCAGAGTAGCTTCATCTTTCCATGGAAGGATTCTTCTCCTTCTGTTGTTATTCAAACACATGCAGAAACAGTGTCATGAAGCCCTGTCCTCCCAATCCTTCATCTATGCTTAGATGAAGGAAAAAGGGCTTTGTCCTTGCATCTTGAGCTCACAATAGTTTCCAGAGTGTTGCAGACAATTAAGAGAATGGTTAAGACCAAAGCCCCTGCTCAGGCTTATTTTTCCACTGAAAACTGTAACTAGCAATTATCAGCAAATAAAATGAGAGCCTAAAACTTGCCTCATTCTGTTCAAATTACTGTTTGCTGTGGCTTGTTGTGCATGAGGCACACAGAAGCATAGCTCTACCAGTCGTTCACCTCATCACAGGTTTTAGTTTTAAAGGCTTGAGTTTACAGCTCCAGGTTTAGTTAGCCCAAAACACAAAAACTCAGTATAAAGCCTGTATTATTTTTAAGTGCCATAGGAAAGAACAGTCTATTAACTGATGAAATTCACTATAATGCAGAAGTCAGGTTGTATTGGTATAATATGAAGTCAGAAGATCTAGCCTCAGGTTTCTCATGTATAACATTAGAAAGATAAACAGTTATTTATGGTGTTGGACTGTTTACATGATTATTAATCGGAGAGTACACATGAAACAATACATGAGAAATTATGAAAACCTACCCACATTTTTAAATGCAGTAAAGCCTTGGCCTCCTAGGAAAGAGCAGGTCTTAAAGCCAAGCTACTTTTCTTGAGCAATGGCTTTAAGACCCACTGACCTCAAGAGACGGTTCCTACAGCAGGTCCAATCTGTCCTAAGATTTTGCCTATGGTGAGCAGAAGGCCGACCTCATTGTCATGCTCCTGTTGTTTTTAATAATTCCTCGTTCTACCAAAAACAAAACAAAACAAAAAAACAAACCAAACACTCTTATGGTTTTAGAAGATCTCCTTGACTCCAAAAAATAAAAGCGATCAGCTAATTTATAGTAATTCTATGCTCTTTCATTACTGCATTTTAAGTTAGATTTCCATCCATCATAGCCCCAGAGGAATTCAATTAATTCTCACACACTTCTCTTGGATTAGTAGTGCACTCTGATTAGTGTTGCATTAGCAGATGCAAATCATTTTCTGGATAGGGCAGGGAATTGAAAGTTAAATAAACAAATATGCATTACTTGGAGAAGGTCACCCCCAAAAAAGTGAAAGAATTTTATAAATCCAGCCTCTCAGCAGAAATGTCCTAACCAAGAGCTACTGAAGAAGCATTTTGTGGCACCAAAACATTTGGATAACCAGCGTATTTTGTATTTTCATAGGGTTGGTGGAAAAATCTTTCTAAATATGGCACATTGAAAACTGGGGTCTCATCTACTTGAAACAGACTGTTGCTTCACTTTAGCTTTCAGTGTGGGGTTTGTATTTTAGGACAAGCAACACCTTTTCTATAATCTTTTCTCATTGACCTTTCTGCAGAGCCTCCTCTGTTAGGCCATATGAATATAGGACTCTTTCGATCTTAGAGCTTCTGGAGAATATAGTCACCTCTCATTTCTTCACTTGCAAAGAAGATGTGAGAGAACTTACCTAAAATGTCTTTTTGCCAGAGTGGGTAAAGGGATTGCTAGAAGGAGGCTTTCATTCCAGGTACTGCCTATTTACAGACAAGTGTCAAAATAGAAGAAGAGCCTCAGCATTATTTTCAGGATGTAAAACATTGGCCTCATAATACGCTTTACGAGGCATTAATATTTTGTTTTTAATTTTGTCTTTTCAGAATATGAAGTCCCACATCCTTAAAACATTTGTATTGATTTCAGGTGCCTCATAGTTTTCAGGCAGAATTTTTGTATTCTTGTCCCTGCGAGGTACAAGAATTATTCAGTAACAACCCATCACCATTCAAAAAAAAAAATTTATTATTCAAACCTGTGCAGTATGTCCAAAACACCAGTTCATTACATAATAACTGGTTTAAATTTAAGCAAAGAGAGTTGGATGGATCTGATTCCTTTCCTTTGGGGGTGATTCTCACGTGCATCTCCTGCATGTCCTCAAATGCATTGTTCAGACACATATGTTATTCTTGATAAGGGGGAAAATGGCACAGTGCCCAGTGATGCATTTTCTGAGTCATTTAACCTAGATTTCTCCATTCTGAATATTCTTGGAAAAAAAAGTTTTTTGTATATTGGCAGCTAAGTAAGGACCTTAGCCAGAATCCTTTTTTAGGGCCGGCCCGGTGGCGCACTGGAGAGTGCGCTGCTTGGGAGCGTGGCAGTGCTCCCGCCGAGGGTTCGGATCCCATGTGGAGACCGGTTCCCGCTCACTGGCTGAGCGCAGTGCGGGCTCAACATCGAGGGTTGCGATCCCGTTACCGGTCAGTAAAAAAGCCAAAAAGGAAAAAAAAAAAAGAATCCTTTTTTATCAATTCTTTAATGTTAAATGATAAATTAAAATTACAAAAGTGGACTTTTTCTGTATTATAAAATGGGTTTATTCTTGGC